CCCGACGGGAGCCCGCGAGACAGCCGCAGCCCAGTCCCCTACGCTCCTGCGTAGAGGGTGGTACCAGCTCTCCGTGCAGAAGAGCCTGGTGGAGGACAGCGTGCTGGGATTATCCGGCCTGGCCACCTCTGACTTCCCTCCCGTTTCAAAGCCAGCAGCGACAGCCGCGCAAGAGCCTGTTTCACACCGCACCCGCCTGCCAAGGTAAAGCAGACCAGTTGTGAGCATACAGCTGCGGAAGAAAACAGTCAGCCTCAGGCTGCGTTTCCGAGCAAAACAACGCACGCCGTCCTCCAAACCCTAAAACACGGAGAGGTCCGATAAAACCCTAAAAACGTGTAAAGTTTGTAAGCCCAAAGAATTGGCACGAGCCAGCGGGATAGCACTGTCACCACGTTAGGAACGGCACTGCTCAGACTGCCTGGTGCCCCTCTCCCCCGGGGACACACGAGTGACCAGCCCTCGAGCAAGGCAACGCAGCCCAACTCCCTCCTGCTGCAACGCTGCTACCCAAGGGGCCACGCAAGCCCCGACCTCTCCATCCTCAGCAGCAGGTCGTGGGCGAGCGACGCTTGTGGGACTGAACCTCCTTCAGGCGAAAGCACCTGGCCTCTGGTTTTGCAGCCGTTGCAGAGACCTGCCGTGGTCAGAAGCCCCCGCAAAGCGAGTGCTCTGCCGCACTCTGAGCGCACGGAGACGCGCTGCTGGGCTCAGCGTTACCCTAACAGCGCTCACCCCAGGACCCCCGGTGTCAAGGCGTCCTTTCGAAGCGCCCAGGAAGAGCTCCGCAAACACCTCAGGCAGCTTTGTCAAAGCCAGGCTTAGGTGAGTACTGAAGCTGCGCTGCCAGGTGAGCACCGCTGCTGAGGACGACGGCTCAAGCTGGAGGAGGGAGCACGGCCACTCCAGCGAGATGCTTGTTTTTGGTCACCAGTCACAGTCCCACGAGAGCTCAGGTACCAGGCAGGATTTGCCACTGCCCGTTTTCCATGCCTCACCTGCTGGCCACCCTTCGGAGGGGCCGCAGGCGCGCAGCCTCCACCCTCCGGCACGGCCCTGCCTCCTCGCTCCTAGTTTTCTCATCGCTAAGCCCAGGTTTAGCGGAAGCTCAGTGCACTGTGGAAACCTGGGCTCCTCCACTCCATTTTCCATAGCATCTCTAGGTACTGAAAAACAGGTACCAGTACAGGTGTAGTGTTAGTCGGCAGGTTTATTGTGGAGTAGGTTTGCCTTAAGAGTACAGAAGAGAAAAAAGCCGATCAAATTCCAGAGCACTGGTGCGCGTGTACTTCTCGCCGGGAATGCCATGAAACGGGCAGGCAATACACAACCAACCAATAGTCTAAATACAAGTCACAGGCTTTCGGTATTTCTGATAAATCATTCCAGGGCGACACGTGTCACCTCCAGCTCTCTCTTTGCAGTTACAGTGGAAATTCACGGATCGTGCCAGATATTTGATCATTGCACCTGACAAACGAAACACTAGTTCCCATTGCTATGCATCAACGGAGCATCCAGATGGACGGACAGACACCAGGCACGGCAACAATTAGGACTAGGCATAAAGGCCAAAAGCTTGGCTTCTTCACTCAAACAATGCTGCAATATGAGACACGTTCAGAATCTGGACTATTGACTCATACACTGAAAAAGCTCCATGAAATCATCCTTGAACAGAAAGGCTGTTTTTTGAAAATCATGGGTTACCCAAGGTGTGATTGAAGTTAACTTTGTAATTGTTTTGCTTTTTAAGCATACTCTGTTATGGTTTACACGCTTGAAGCAACCTACCATTACCTATTTCACTAGAAGCACAAATAGCCCTCACTTTCCCTTTCAGTGCTTGTTTGGACAGGTTTGTAAGTTTTCTTTTAACACTGAAACCAGCATTTATTTCTGCTAGATATCCCACCACATTTTAAAAAAAGAAAAAAAGTGTGTTTTTCCCTCCAGCTACCAATTTGTTTGCTGACAGTCTAACGTTGTTTCCAGTCTTTTGGTGTGATCAGCGTCAGAGTGCCTTATCATGCAATTTTTGACTGCGGAATGAGTATGGAGTTTGACAGATGTATATACACATCATTAAGCCTTCAGCTACGTACTTGCTGTGCAAAACTTGTTTAATCAACAAATTTGACTCCAGGATCTGGGCTGCTTTAAAATCGTACCATTTTCTGTGCGACAGGTTAGAACTCCTGAGGTTGGCAAGGAGAATCTTTCACTCTTAGGAGGAAAGGTAGAGTACACTGCAGGAAGACTAATAACAGCTTCCTTTTGCCTCTCAAACACACGTCCAGAAGTTCCCTCAGAAAAACATTTGTTTCCTTAGGTCTTCCCCCCCCCCCCCCCCCCCAAAAAAAAAAAAAAAAAAAGAAAACATGCTTTGAGACATTTTAGGATTTTTTCTTTAAACTCAGACTGAAGAACTAAGAAAAAAAAAAGGGGGGCAAGAAAACAAAGTAGCAATCATCAGGTTATTAATGATTTGTATTCTGCTCAGATGTTTCTGCAGAGATTAATTATTTTAACTATGTCAGCGTTTTGAATAAAAGCTCATTCTTACACTTTTGGACATCTGGTATCACACTAGGCCAACCACCAAAGAATAAGCATTGCAGAATGAAAAATAATTAGATCAGGGAGAAAAATGAATGCCCTTTAAAGATACTAGAGGAATAAAAAGGGCATCTGCAAAATCTTAACCACCTCCAAACACAGAAGATGAACTTTAAATTCCATTTCAAAGAAAGCAGAAACTGATCCTATCTGCAAACACCATTCGACAATAAATGTGCAAAGCGACTAGCCTGAGAAGACGCTAACATTAGTCATTGCCATTTTAGACATTTTTCATCCACGTTACATGGCACACAGTGCAAGTTACCCAAATGTTAACAGAAGCAGCAGGGTTACTACAGAGAAGTTGTAGTTAAAAATACACATTTTATTTCAATGTGCCAATAAAAAAGTCCCACGTTTTCATATCACAGGAAGTTAATCCATACAATAAAAACAGGCCTGCGCTAGTCTATCGTGCGACTAACTCAGAAGACCCAGATCATGCCAAAGTTTAGTTGATATACTCTTCTATCTACATTCTTACATTTACAAAGACACCACAAAATCCCTTATTATAATGTAAGCAAAATAACTTTCTTCCCAAAAGATTAAGTTCATAACTTTAATCCATTCTTTCAGGACTTGCACTTCTTTGAGGACTTCCTGACGGTGAACGACTGGAAGGAAAAAAATTCACAGTTAAACTGCAATAGTGATACGTGATTCACAAATACAGGAAAAAGGCAACAGAGAGGTACCTCAGCTACTCCAGCACCCTTGGAGCACTGATTATTTAAAAAAAAAAAAAAAAAAAAAAAGTCAAAATTAACGGGCTGATTATTCCCACATTATTCCCACATTAGAGAAAACACGTTCATTTCACTATGAAAAAAAAAAATCTATTTTAACAATCCCAATGAAAAGCAGCTTCTTCATTATTAGCCCTATTAAACAAAGTCAACTCAGATACTTGTGTTTTTTTTCAATGTAGACTTTTAAATTTTTGCATTTCTCTGTTGTTCTTTCTGTAATACCATTTAAATGTGATTAACATTAAGTAACTTGAGGAGTACTACTGATGCTGATTTTCAATGTATGCAAGGTGTTTCTTCACCATTCGGATACAGTAGGTTGGCAAAACCTCCTGTCACCTATTATGGTGACCACGTCAATATATAGCGAGCATTTATCCAAGTCCCGTGTGATTGTTTATGAGGTTAGAGTACATAGAGTAGCATTTTAAAATGGGGAACCCCCTTCAAGTTCTAAAAGAATGTAAAAATAAAAGCAGCAGCTTGCAGGGTAAAAAGATGACCAAGGTGTGGGACACACTGTGGCAGGACTAGAGCTATTCTAAATACCACATATCCCGTCCCTGCAAATCCTGAAGTTCAAAGTTGTAAAAACGAGCTATTAATGACTTCAAACTAGGAAAAAAGTGCTGCTGATTCTGTCATTATGTACAGATGCAGAACTATTTACCAACTTACTGGCGGGGGAAAAAAGGAAAATCTGAGTTAACACTAGTAAGAAGAAGAAGATCAATCTTCCACAACTGACTGCCACACCAGGTTACTCCACTGTGTCTTCCCCAGTCTCGCTGCAGCCTTTAAGGAGACCCAAACCTGATGCTGACATTTATTCTGTGCCTTAGGCTCACTCTTAGAAAATCTCTGTTCAGTAAAACTGGTAGAAAAATGAAATAACATAGCAGCAGTCAAAGGCAAGACATAATATGGCTATGTAACCAATATCTTGGGGGAATGCTTTACAATAATGGGAGCAGTAACCGCAATCACGCTATTTTTACCAGAGGGATCTTTTCAGTAAAATACCTTTCCAGCATTTTACTGTGAGCAGCAGTAAGACTCCTCAGCACAGATCACTGCAGATACTACAGTGCCAACTCGACATACTCTAGGCTATCGGTAGCGAGATCAACGTACCTTCTCTTTGGAGAGGGTGATCGGGACTTTGATCGACTGTCAAAACAGAATATAATCAATGCAGCTTATAATTAAAAAATGGAACTTATATATTCAAGAAAGTAAACATCTTAGATAGCAATGTAATTATGAGCAATCGAGCCTGAAGTTCTTTAAAGTAGCAAAGTCATCAAATCAGCTTTTACAATAGTGGGGATTCTCAATTGATTTAGAGTAATTTTAAGGAACCATCTTCAGCAGAGAAAACACTGGAAAACAAGGGGAAGAACTGAGGTGAGGCTTTGAGACAAGAAGCATCGTCATAGATCCTTTCAAGTATTTTACCAGCAACAGTAACAAAGCTAACGCCCTTCATCTGATGGACAGTGGAATTCAATGGAATTCAGCACAACAAAATCAGTACTGTGATGGAAACCACAAAGAGCTAATGAAAACAAAGAGGTGGGTAAGGAACACATTCCTAATACCAGCAAGGGAAATTACATAATCACAGTTGTATCTGAAACAGATCAGCTGGGCACCCATGCTTTGGGTTATTTTTTTCTAAAAGCCTCCCAGATGCAAGTCAGAGAATTAACAAACTTCTAAAACGTAACTGAAATACTGATCGAAGGACCAAGCTTCGTTAATCATGAAAAAACAATACTGAGTTCTGGATACCACTGCAGGTTTTTTCTTTGTATGCTCACCTCTTAGCCGGGGAGCCAGATTTAGATCTGCCATGAGACCTAGACCTACAACAAGAGGAGAAAACACAGCTCAGTAAGGAAGCCAGGAGCATGCACGTGCCTGTGTTTGAGAGAGCGAAATTCATGCTAAACGTTTAAGAACTGTAACGCTGAACACCGACAGAATCCTGCAAGCTTGCAAGGCTTATCCTGCTTTAGAAGGAAGCTTTCTAAACTGACGCTGCACATGTTGCTCAGTACTGTGGCACAAGGCTGATGCCTGATGTTTGCTGATGCTGGTGGCAGGAACGCATAAAGTACCCAAGTTCTGACCAGTATGTTCACAAAACTCATAAAGAGCCGTGCTCTGAACTTGCCATTTTTCTTAGGCTTGAGTTACGTCTTCCGCTGTAGTTTAACATGGCTGCAGGCAGCATGCTCCTACAAATGCCTTCAACTCAATGCATTTAATCTTTCACATAAACTTGCTAAAAAGGTTTCTTTTAAATCTTAACCATTTTGAAAAGACTGTCAGAAATAGCAGTCTTTTTGCGACAAGATTGCTGCACCAGAACACTACTAATATTGCCTACAAAAACAACTGAAATTTTTAAGAGTCCTCAAAGGAAGTGTTCTGCTTTTCACATCCAAGGCTTTCCACAACTACTTCCAGATTTATGCCTTGATGCTGTCAATGCAGCAAACATCATGTAATACTTCAAAATCTACAGTTCAGTGCCATGCATTCCTTTGATTCTTCTGTAAAGAGTTTTTCTGTCTTTCGATTGTCTGATGTGGAAACGTAATAGTGACTTCATTAGAAACTAAACACCAACAATTTGCCAGTTTTCAGTAATCCTAGTTCTGTACTTTCCTCTGCCAGGATCACTTAAGCTGCACTGAAAAAGAAACACGTTTCACAGTTCACATTTTAAAAATTACACTAACAGTATGCTGTACGCTTCAGAAAATCATCCTGGCCCTAAAAAAATAAGAAAATAGTGATTAAAAAAAAAGACAGATTTTTCTCTTTGAGAGCCTGTTAACCTTAGCTGTTTTCTGCTCAGCACCGTCAGTACATCAGCAATGAACCATGGATAAGTCATGTTGGAACAGCTAGTATTAAAATTCAACACAGTTTAGCAACAGGTACTGCATCTGATCAAAGGGCACGGCTTCACTGGCTCACGGACTTTCCCTTCTTTTTTTGCTAGTGTTTGGGCTGTTCGTGCCATTGCTTCTACTCTAAACTAATCCATCTTCTGGTCTTCATCTCTCCATCGCCTAAAAAAAATCCTGTCATTGCTTGATGCTCCACCCTTTTTTGTTTTCCACCTTTCATCACTGAACACTCCTGGTTTCAATTGTACACTTTTCCCCTTACCCTTCCCTTTAGCTAAAGCGCCCCCTCCCCCTCTTTTATTTATTTATTTATTTATTCACTGTTGACTACTATGTTAATTATTTCAAAAAGTAGCTATTCAAGTGGAGCAGCAGGCCCAGGTATAGACTGGGGAAAAAAAAAAACAATACGCTATTCTTCAGAGCAGAACTTCAATTTACTCTTATTCTCCTATGACAGCTCCCAGAAGACATCCAATCAACAGATGTCAGCCATACCGTTCTTGACAAGTTTGCAAGCACAGCCTACATTCGTTTACTGTGGGAGGATTAAATCACAATATTGAAGAGAACAAAGGACATGCGGCGTTTCTTTAAAATTTGATGGCTGTACTGACGGTACATTTGATGGTACAAAATAATTCTCCAAGTTGTTATACTATCTCAAATTTAATTCAACTACCACAAATCAACACACTGTGAATGAGCAGTCATGTATTTAAGGGAGCTGGAAACAGCTGCACCGCTCAGCTCAGGGCACTCTAGCAAGTTCTTCAAGACTTGCCTGCTTACATATATTAATACTTTAAAAACACTACCAGAAGGGCACTCTCATTTCTGACAAATTATGGAAAGTATCCACAATCTTAGGTGCACTAAACAAAGCAAAAGAAAAGCACTTTTCAGATTAATTCTACATTTGTTTGCCACATCAGTTAAGTGGTAATGCAAACCAGTCAAAACTGTACTTCTGTTTGCTCTCAGGCCTCAGACAGCGATATGTAAAATAAACACAAAAAGAGAAAGAACAACCTTCTGTACTGCTTTTTACAGCTTCCAACCCACGTATTTGTGCTGAGAACACTCAAACTTTTTCTGAAAATTTTGAGGTCAGAAAACTTTAACAGACCTTTAAGCAAGGAAGACACTAAGCATCCTCCATCGCTGCAGAGATCTTACCTGCTCCGTGGCCATGTAACAGATCTGGATCTAGACCTGGATCTTGATCTAGACCTGAATTAAAAATTAAAAACATAACGAGATCAAAGAATGCAACTCAACTAGAACACTGTTACAGCACTACTTAGATTAATATCTGAGTGTACAACCTGCCTGATTACTACATGTTTTAGACAACCAAATTCGTCAAAGACATGCAGCTCTGTTAAAGCCTCAAAAAGCAATCAGACGACCTTTATTCCGAATTGTCAATAACTCTTCACAGTGTTCTCAGTCTGACTAATTACCTTGATCTCTTCAAAGAACCCGATCGGGACCGGCGGGGAGAGACAGATCTAGACCTACGAGGAGAAACGGACCGGGACCTGCGATAAGAAGCTGACCTGGACCTGCAAAAAGTATTTAAAAAGAACCGTAAGACTGTAGATCTTCTCTGAGAAAAAGACATAGTGACAAAAGACAAGCCTAAAGCGTACCTCCTACCACGACTGCGACTGCGTGACCGAGAATACCTCCTTCCTCGGGACCTCGAACGGGATCGAGACCGGGACCTAGTTTTAGGTTAGAGAAAACAGGTATCAGGAAACAGCCACAGCAACCAGCACACGTGAGCCTCTGCTGAAGTAGTCAAAACTTTCAGACAACTAAAAAACTAGCATCTGTCAGTTGGAAAAAAATCTCTGGGCCTACTTGTCTTGAGCATTTTTACTGCCTAGAAAAATGTTAAAAGCTGAATTACATTGCAGAATTACATTAGAATAGAAAACACTGTAATGCGTATTTAAAATAAACCTTGCAAGTTTGCAGGTCGACCCTCTTTGGCCCAAGGTCTAGCAGATCTAGACGGTCTAGAAGTATCTATAGCCGATCGCTGCATCTAGGTGTTCTCTTCAATCTAACGACGATCAAACTGACAGCCCAATGAGCCAGGGTGAGGCTTGATTGACGCAAGAAGATTTTTCTAGGTGGGAATGTGGTCAATCTGGTGTTGCATCGTCTTTTCTGCAGGAACATGACTGTCCCCAAACCAGAAGTCACCAAGCAACATTAGCAGTATGCAGATTTTTCCACATTAGCAGCATGCAATTTGAGCCTGGCTCACCTAAATTGCTAGTACTGCAGTCGGTGCTAATACAATACAGAAGACAATTTCTTCCAACGTGCCAGCTCTCATCTCTGTAATATTTTTATCCTACTCTTTCATCCTTCTTCTAAGCCAAGACTCAAAGGAGAGGAAAATAATACAGCAGCATTTACTCCAAATTCCTCATCTTCCATTTCAGCCTGCCAGTCACAGGCAGCAGGAAACATCTGGGTCCACAAAGCCAGGACTACACGTCAGAGCAACCCCTCAAAACACCAGGGCTCACATTCCTCTTCATTCTCTCGTCTAAAACTCTCAAGCCAGGTGCTTTACTCCATACAAGCTGGTTCTTAGTACTACAGTAACATAACACTATCCAAGTCCCACAACTGGCAGACTGCTTAACAGCTGTAAGCAAGAGTTCAGGCACTAGCAGGAATCTTCTCATCAATTCTCCTCAGCATGTACCATTCAAAAAAACATGCCAAGAGAATACTAAGCAACAGCATGATATTTTGCTAACTTCCCACAGGACGTGAGCTCAAGCATTCTTTAAACATATAATCAGTTTCCAGAACTTCTCTCCGTGGGACTTGTATTTCTCCTACCCTTTTGTAAGTCATGCGTTTTGTTTCTGGCTACATATACATATATGCACACAGGCAGAGACCTAGCCACAGACTAAAACACCTGTTCGTTTATTACAAGAAACGGACCACCGAAGCAGACTGTGAAAAGGCAGCAGTTAAGTTACTGCAGTAACTTAACTGCTATGCTGCAAAACTCTGCAACCACACTGAGCCTAAATTTCCAGAGGGAGGGAGGGGAGGGAGAGAGTACTATTACTCGTTTGAATCAAGTTAAGTATCTTACCTGCTTCTGGGCCACACAACAGACCGAGATCTCGAGCGTGATCTGGACCTAGACCTAGAAAAAAAACAGTGAAAACTCAACTACCATACAATTCATGCAACAACCGAGATCCTACAACCCAATTCTCTAAAGTCAATACCATTAAACAAAGACTACTATCAGTTCTGCAGAAGTAACCTTCTTGTATTATTAGAATATTGTAATAAACTAACCCAGTGGAACTATCCACACAAGAAATCCTTCTGCCCTGATTAGTTAAGTATAAATACTTCCTGCGTCCTTAGAACTAAAGTAGCAATTCTTAACCACGGGTAACAATTCACACTGTAATAATGATGATACAATGCCAAAAAGCTCAGCAATGACACATCTAGAGCTCTAAGAACAAATTTCAACTTGAGAAAAGGGGCCTGGTAAGCTTTCAGGGATGTAACGCCATGAAGCTTCCTGTGGACACACAGAGCATGACATACAGACTTAATGTTAACAGTTGTGTTCCCTTCCAACCTTGTTCCATTTACAACCTAAAACAGGTGACCCCTACCTTGATCTCCTTAAGGAACCAGAACGTGATCTGCGGGGTGAAAATGATCTATACCTACGAGGAGAGATTGACCTGGACCTGCGGTAAGAAGCTGATCTTGATCTACAAAAGAAAGAAAACCCCCAAAATTAAAAAAAAGAAAAAGCAACAAAACAAAACACAACTCTCAACAAGCCTAAAGCGTACCTCCTACCACGACTGCGACTGCGTGACCGAGAATACCTCCTTCCTCGGGACCTCGAACGGGATCGAGACCGGGACCTAGTTTTAGGTTAGAGAAAACAGGTATCAGGAAACAGCCACAGCAACCAGCACACGTGAGCCTCTGCTGAAGTAGTCAAAACTTTCAGACAACTAAAAAACTAGCATCTGTCAGTTGGAAAAAAATCTCTGGGCCTACTTGTCTTGAGCATTTTTACTGCCTAGAAAAATGTTAAAAGCTGAATTACATTGCAGAATTACATTAGAATAGAAAACACTGTAATGCGTATTTAAAATAAACCTTGCAAGTTTGCAGGTCGACCCTCTTTGGCCCAAGGTCTAGCAGATCTAGACGGTCTAGAAGTATCTATAGCCGATCGCTGCATCTAGGTGTTCTCTTCAATCTAACGACGATCAAACTGACAGCCCAATGAGCCAGGGTGAGGCTTGATTGACGCAAGAAGATTTTTCTAGGTGGGAATGTGGTCAATCTGGTGTTCCTCTTTCTAAACCGGAGGGGGGGGCCCCAATTGAAAGCCAAATTTACTGTTACGGCGATCACCGTCTCAAATTTTCTGCCCTTAAAGAATAAGGTGAAGCTACGTGTAGATGGCTCGAGGGGATCTGGCCTCTTATGCTGATCACCTCAAGGTCTAGGAGGATCTTAAGTGTCGGATTTGCAAGGCGCCTCAGCATGAAATCTTAAGGCTCGTGACATTCTGAATCAAGGCGACTGACTCAAACGAAGAAACCTGAAAGGTTTTGACCAGGTTGATTATTAAGATATTAACATTCGATAGAAATAGCAACAAATTGTAATATACGCCTATACATTTACTCTAGCTTTAAAGTTAAAAGAAAACTGGCGTAACATTCTCTTCTTTGCTAACAAGAGCTACACAAGAGTTATCTGGCGAGACAACCCAGCCGCCTCTGGTCCCATACGTACCTGCTCCTCCTCCGGCGACTATAGCGATGACAATCGTAAGCATAGTGGCCTTTCTCGCCACACTCATAGCATCTGTCATTAGGGTCAAAGGGGCGCCGCGCCGGAGGCCTGTCATAGCGGGAGCGACGAGGCATCCCTGTTGACACTTCCACTCTGACCCTGGAGCCACAAATCACCCTGGAACAAGTCCACGATGGCTGTAAGTTAACTTACTGCTTGCCTAAGGCAGAACTACACAAACGTAAGGAACCAGACAAAAATTCCCGATTCTTTCTCTCTCTGGTTTTACATAACGGCAGCTCCACGGTCTTTCGAAATACGCACGTACTTGCCATCGAGTCCCCGGACAGCGTCCTCCGCATCCCTCGGGTCTTCAAACTCCACGAAGGCAAACCCCGGCGGGTTCCTCGCGATCCACACCGTTCGCAGCGGCCCATAGTAGCTGAAGGCCCTCTCCAGCTCGCCCTTGCCCGCGCCCGTGCCCAGGTTCCCCACGTAGACCTTGGTCTCTGCCGGGAGCGAGGCCCGTGTCAGCGGCCCCGGCCCCCGCC